CATCATTACCGAGCTGAGTGACAAATACAGGTTCATCACACACTATGCGGGGAATTCGGACCATCCAATCGTATCCAGTTCCTGAACACGATACAACTTCTGCACGCATCAATCACTCGCGGGGCCCGCGGGCGGCCGACGCCCATCTATCACACACCGCCTTACAACAAGTGGTTCATGTATCAAGGCCGGGCACGGGTACCAATTTACTCAGCACGCCAGCGACAGGAGGGGGTATTACCACTCCATTTTCTATACGAAAACACATTAGAACAGGTATCAAACGAGTTGAAACCAATCTCATCTCATCTATCCCTTAAGTCTAATTGTTCGACCGTCGGGGCACCACATGTACTGTTGATCTGACAACCGGTTCTCTTCACTCTTCTCGGTTTTCTGTTCCTCTTAGTCTTAACCTTTGAAATCACTTGGTGTCATGCTGGTACATTGAGTGAGTGATAATCATTCTCCCATCCTTTCAGTTGCCTTCTTTGGTCTGTCCTGTGTAGTGAGTTGTAGCACATTGTTATTGAAAAATTGCAAATACATGTCCTTGGTAGTCCGAAGAAGACTGCCAGTGTGCTCATTCACGGGGATGTGACCTCATATGGCTTCTCACTCCGAAGCAGAGATATATACATCATAATACATGTAGATCAACATAAATCAAGAATTTGATAGGTCAACCCTGTGCTAAAACATGTAATACCTTTAATATGACAAAATATGACAAGTTCTTTTTACTAAGTTACAATCATATTATCTAATTTAAGTACATTTGTTTTAGATAAAGATATATATATATACATGTATGTTGACATGTGTTTTTAATATTACTAATATACTGTACAATACATATTGATGTTGACCATAGTGACAACTGAAATAGTGCCATACATTGTACATGTAATTTCTGGACCGTCACACAATTATTACAAATCAGATATTACTTTTTTCGTTTGCCTTGAGAGCTGGAAACGGAATAAAAAGTTGTTCATGTCGTATAATGCTTAAATCACTAATGACAATTTAGTGTCAGTGCAGTAACAGTATAACTATAATGCCGTTGCAGTAAGTGAACAAAAAGTCATACATGGTTATCAGTGTAGTTAACGTACCACCACACATACACACAGATCTGTCGCTGTACCCAGCGTCATCCCTCGTACGTACATTCCAGACTTGCGTGACAATTAATCAGCTCCTGATATGAGCGATGGTGCGAGGCACATCCGAGGTCAGCCGACAGCCGTTAAACTACCGGCTCGCATTCTGATAACTCAGCAATCCAGCCCGTCATAAAAGTGACCTTGCCGAGCCAGCTGTCTTTAGCATGTGCACTATGTGGGACACACAAACACACGCCGGGCAGATGCAGTGTTGTTGTCCTCCCTTCTACGCTATCAGCAGAAACTGTAGCTGCTGTATTCCCTTCCACCGGCTTTCATAGTCTCGTGTATCTTGTTCGAAAACTAACCTCTAGATGTCCTTCTGTGATAAGCCCAAGGCCAGATTATACTATTAGATACTCCCTAGTAGTAGCCTCCAGTGCAGGCCTCCAAGCGATGGACATTTTAATACTGGGTTAAAATTTGTAGAATTATTCAGGCGTTCTTTTGCCAGCCATCGTACAAGCAAACGGCCATTGTAGGACGAAGTGGGTTTCTACTATACAATAGCCAGTTGGTTGTACAATGGCTTACAAAAGAATGTGTCAACAATTTTACAAAACCCAGGGTATCAAAACGCCCACAGTCAGAGGCCTGCACAGGAGGCTAAAACTCCCTGTGCACAATTATACAATGTAGGTCATACAGGACCCTCCCAGTGTCACTGGCTTACGATAAATCCTAGTTGTGACGGCGTTGACATTGACGTGATCCTAATTGTTTGTGTAGCTTATCCCTCGTTGATGGTTAAACAAACTATTACTAAATTGAAATACATGCATTTTTGCACAGTTATTGACAGTCAGGTCAGTTACATGTACCGGTACAAGGTTGTCTGTCACATTAGAAAGGGCAAAGAGTACCAGGTACACTGTATTTCAGCATGGAGCTTTATTTGGTTTCAGTGATATTGTTCAGCACAAAACAGAGCTTTTTGTAAAACAGAAAATGCAAAAAAGTAACTTAGTTTCCATTTAAAGTTTATATAAGGTCAACACTGTGCAAAAATTGAAGGTTAACTTACATGTAATTATTAACTTACATGTAATTGTTTGAGCCTTGGAAGATTAGCCCTTCGGGGCTAAAAGGTTTCGAAATAAATGAAATGTAATTGTGACATACATTGTACAGTACTGTACACTCTAACAGGGGCTTAACTTAGCCAAACACAAATGTTAACATGTTTTGCACTTATGCACACACATGTACACAGACACAAACACACATCAGCTGCTTATTGTTCTTTTGCTACAAACTGATACATTGCAAGATTCCTCAGAATCCACAAAATCAGCCTTGCTTGAATTACACATTATCTGTTAAAAGGTGAAGTAACTCTCTTACAAGTTACGCCCTTGATACATGTATTTTTTACATTAATATTGCTAGTACTGTAAATGTCTAACTGAATCAGATGAATAGTGTATATGAACCTGAGTATGTGCAGTTGCTTGTGCAAATGCTCTGTATAGCATATCCTACTGTACGTACATGTACTCAGTTTGAGCTCCGACCTGTGGTTTCATTTTCAATCCACAGTCTTGTTCCAATCCTCGCACAGGCTTCCATATTTATCGTATGTACATTTATGAGTTAAGACCTATCTCGGCCTAACCCGCGTCGCTCGACCGACCCCGCATTGTGTGTCAGGACACGGGACGGGAGCCGCGCTTCGCGCTCATCCCAGCACGTCAAATTGAATCTGGAGGTGGAATCCGTCTGCCGTCACGGCTAGCTGGTGGATGGGATATTGAGGAGGAGGTGATGGCTGGATAGTTGTTGGAGTGTGCCGGGAGAATGGGAAGGGCGAGCCCCCCTCCTCGGAACTTCGTGATTTCCCCGGGGAGCGCGGGAAGGATGCGCGGAGCCGGGAGGTGGACATGTAGCGAGCCGCGGGGTCGCGGGGTTTATGGATAAGGCAAACTGGGCTACGAACCCACAGTCTCATCACCTGTAGTACATGTACATGTACATGCCTACGTACAAATGATCACTAGGTGATTACAGGTTAGGGGAGTAATAATTATGGGCGGGTTTGGCACATAAAAGTCAGATTGTCACCGTGTCTGGTTGCGTGTCCGTTGCATTTTATCAGTGGAATGGTTTATCGTGCTTGCAAGCTTGCGTTGGAGGCAAACTTGAATGTGACACTAGTAGTACAATGTACATTTGTAGTAGTCACTGTTAGTTACATGTATCTATCCAGTCTTTGACTACACTGCTGCATTGGTCCCTGGGCAGCAGTAAGGCTAGTCTCCATACCATGTTTTCAAGCAGCTCTGTCTACTGTACATTTAATTTTGGTTCATAGGATTGTTGATTATCATTGTGTTTTTAAGCCAAAATGTATAATAATGAAAGGAAAGTAATGAAAGTTTTACATGCTTTGATATGACTGTGTTCACTGTTCACAGTTGTGTCACACTGGGATACTAGTAAATGTTTTTACATTTGATTATTTTTATAATATTGTATCTAAGTGATAATCAAAATTAAAGAATTAACATATTTATACATTGTAACTATTTTTTAAAGTAAAGGCTGGTTGGTACTTTGTGACTGGTGAGAAGTTGGCAAAATTTTGTGGGTGAATACATTTTGGCATTTTACCTTGTGGGTAAGTCACAAATAAGAAATGTGCACACAAATAGATACATGTACATGTATGTCATGCTGCAGTATGTTCATTGTTCTAGCCTGTCTGACATTTTTTCCAGCATTCTTAATTTTGCTGTTAATTACGTAACATCACTTTCTAGTGCTAAAGCGAAGCAATCCTAGGGGAGTCTGGGGGCAGGGAAAATTTGGAAATCTTGACCCACTGAAACGCCGTTACCTCATTTTGATGGGAAAATTTTTGTGTGTCATAAACAGCAAAATTGTGTAAAGTGATGGAAAGACAAACACTAGAACACTTCTGCAGAGTAATTATAGCCTTAAGTTCTCAAAATATTATCTTAAAAATGCATTCACTCCTTCCCATCAGAATAGAAGTCTCTTATCATCCCAGTCACATAAGTGTGTCCCAATTCAGAATGTGGAATTTTCCACTCCTTCACACGCATGTAGCCTCTGATTGTAAGCTACAGATTTGGACAGGAAGTCTTCAGGGAGGTGAGAAATGATGAATGGGCAATTTTGGGTGAAGTTGAGGAAGACGGATGGAACGTATGGTCATAACATCCAGATGAATTTCCCCAAAACGACTCATGCAAGAAGGGTAGTTCAAATGTACGGGAAGACAAGAATTGCTAGGCTTTATTTATAAACATGTATCAGTTATCTTTCCAGGGTTATCTTTCTGTCATTTTAAGGAATGTTGCTGCTCATAACGGACAAAAATTTTGCCTAATTTGTCATCTTTGACTGATAAAAATCAGTGTCTGAAGAAAGAGTATTGTTAAATTACAGTAAGCTTAGTCTACCAGAAAAATGAATACTGTACATATATTATATATTGCAGTTCATATCAATTTTGAAAAAGCTTGATACCGAAAAGAACCACCATGGCTTTGTGAATACTTGTTAATGAAAGCACTGTATGGGGGTTTCAAGAATACATGTATTTTACTGATAAGTACCAGGGGGTTTCAAGAACAATCTTACTAAATATGTACTAGTACATGTATGATGTGATTACATGTGTACACTGTACATGGGGTATTGAAATACTTGACACTGCAGAGGTTGATATCGAACAGTTTATTTTGGAATGAGGAGTGAGATGGACTGAAATGTGCTGTATTTGTTCCTGACCAATTACATATTGTACATGTCTGCCTTTCTAGTCACATGCATGGGTGTTCTGATCAGTGTTTCCTCCTTTTGCAGTTTGCTGAGTGGCAGAATATCATCACTCAAGGATGAAACAGGCGCTGTGAGTTGCAATTATCACAAATTTATTTACACGTATAACTCATTAGTTTTTGTCAATAGGTGTTAAAACTGCACCTTTTGTTAATCATAATATTGTGCCAGAATTTCTGATGGTGTATATGGTCATAACACCAATGTTAACAAGAGTTCCACGATCTCATACCTTCGCCAAATGATGTTAACCCTTGGGGTTTACGAATTATACAATTTTGATAGTTGATTTCGCAAATAAGAGCGTCATTTGCATGGATTACATCAGTTGCTCATATTCTCCACCCAATGGCAGCCTTATCTTAACAAATTAGGCTATTCTAGTACTTTCTCATAAATTATGCAAATGAGATCATAATGTGAATAAATTATCTTCATTGATGTTCACCTTCACTTAACTTCCAAATGCGGCAAGTATGAAATTCCCAGCAATTACAAGTATGAAATCATAACAATTTCCCATTAATTATGCAAATTAGGTCTTTATTTACATAATCAATAACCTCTGATGTTTTTCTCGTTCTCAATTACATGTCACAAGTATTTCATAGTCCTATTATCAAACAAAGCAGATTTATAGAATTTCCTCATTAATTATGCAAATTATCTCCTGATTTGCATAATTGTCATCTGATTATGTGAAGCATCACTTCAGCTACCTACATACCAAAAATCATGACAATCCGTCAACCGGTTCTTGAGTAATGCACCTTCGGAGATTTTTCAAGAAACGCTCCTGCAGTTCCAGAACAAGCTGCTAGGGGGCCCAAACTCATGTCACTTCTTCTCTACCTCAAGAGCTATCTACCAACCAAAGTTCGTGACCCTAGTACCTCTAGATCGCGAGATATCAAAACCGGAAGTTCTGCTGCAGTACCAACAAAAGCCGCTAGGGGGCCCAAAATCTAATCATTTCTAGGTCTTATCAAGATACCCACATACCAAGTTTCATGACAATGCATATTAAGCTTCTTGAGTTATGCTGTTCACAAACAAACAAACAAACCAACAAACCAACAAACGGACAAACGCTACTGAAAACATAACCTTCTTGGCGAAGGTAATTACAAAGTAACTTTCAAAACTGTTATAAGATGTAAGACTCACACAATGCACAACTGCCATCTACATTTTGTAATTGTCAGGTACATTAATTCTGGAAGGAAAAAATCTACCAGAGTAGAGTTTTGTGTTACTTTATGAACAGTTCCTCCTCCCATTTAGAGCCTTAATAAAGCCATGCAAATTTAATTAGTTGGCTCTCGGATTTTTTCTCTGAAAAAAAAATAAAGCAACAGGGTGAAAAACATTCCTACATAGGCATCCTGCATTGTATAATAGCCTATAGATTATTCAAACAAAGAATTTTGAACTTTTAATCAAGCTACAACTGCTACAGCATTAATAGGTGGAAAAACAGTAATAACTACATTTGTACATGTACGAAGACAATCAATCAATCAATCAATTAATCAATCAATAATTGTCCGGAACTCATGGGGCCAAAATACATTAAGCATTTAGAGTTTATCCTGAATTTTTATTCTTTATTTTGCAAATCAGAAAAAAAATTGAAGCAGGCATATCTGAGAACCCATTAATTAAATTGGTGTGGCCTAAAGGTTCGGCCATAAACGTGACCAGAGAGTTGCCATCCGCAGCCATTACTGTACATGCCTGGAGTTTTAATGGCTCTAACACGTGTCCCCTGTCATTCCTACATGCCTGGTCATGTTTAACGACAATGCCAAGCTCATCCTTCCTGTTGCCTGGATCACGCACACATCACATGTGACTTGGCTAACATATGCTACTGTTGAACCAGTCTTTTAGCTAGGGCGGTTGGATGCCCTGTAGGCCTGTACTGAAAACAATAAGAAATTGGACACCCTACTTTTTGGTAGGGATGCTCTATTTTTTCCACTCCCAACCGCTGCCATGCACACATGCCTCCCTTCAGCCTTACTATAGATACAAAATTGATGGTTTACTGATTGAAGGAGAAAAAGTCAAAGTCTTCAAAATTTGCACCTCAAAGTGCATAAAGTGGTGTTTGAGAGCATCACGAATTTATGAAAAGCCCCCCTAAAAAGCTCGCGCACCCCACATTTTTGCTGCGCATAGCATACAATAAAGCCTGAATCCCTTTTTTTGCAAAGCAGACAAAAATAAAGCGGGCAAGTCCGAGAACCAGTTATACTGTTGATTAATTTTGGTGTTGCCTTTAAGTGTCCCACACTATCATATACTTCCTTCCTACACCCCTTTTTCTTTGTGCATGCACAGTTTAAACCGTGAACTGACTTATTGCACCACCAGGGTACAAATGTATCTGGCTTTCATGCCAATTCTGCACAGTTCTCTGTTCTTGGCTAATAGTCAATGTACACACACATGTACTTCAAATCAGTTTAGAAGGATGCATAATCTACAACCAAAATTGTTACTAAGTGCCATCCAGGGTATCATAGCATCCTGGATCCCATTCAAGTTAATGTCAAAAATTCCACTGTGCTATATTTGAACATGACTTGTAGTCACACTTTTCACAAGTCGTACCAAATGTCACACGTCGATACGCGAGGAGCATCTTCCCCAATTACGCCTGCAAAGGAGAATTACGGATCCAGCAATATTTTGCAATTTGATGTGATATATCGGCGGCAATAAGCGCAAACTTGCAAGTTATTACAGATTATGCAATAAGTCTTGTAGCCATTTGGGAGGCTTGATCAGAACTCAGTGGGAGATGGATATAGGAAGACGTGTTAGAACAGATCTGCAGGAGATTGAACAGTTATTATTGGCTCCAAGCATTTAATTGCTCTTTTGAGAGGATTATAAGAGGAAACAGTTAATAAGAAAACATTGTGATGTTGTGGAACATTATAATCATCGCAGGCTCACATGAATTAAGGGCACGCATTGATGCATATCAATTTGTTTATTTGCATAACCAATGAAGCAGTCATCTTTAAACGGTGTGAAACTTAATGTTTTATAACACTCTGAGGTGATCATAAAATGGCTTAATGTGTTCTTAATGGTAGATGATAGGAACTTAGCATTCCTGAGACATTACAAGTCGCTGAGATCAAAATCTACAAAGTTTTAATGATTTTGGGGAAATTTGGAAAATCTAACATATCTAGTTAACATCTAACATTAGTATAATATTCCACCCTGTCAAACTGTAGTTACTATATCAAAAGCTGGAGTTGGTTATATTTTCGTAATAACTGAAACCTTTATGACACAAACTTTCAATTTGATGCTAACTGTTCCAGCTTAATTGTCATTCTTCACAAACAAATCCTGCGTAATACCCCCTGATTTATTGTTCCACTTCTTTCCTCTGGAAGATTTGTCGCGTTGCCCCCATTGTTTACGTTGTCAGCTCGACAGTCAGAACCATCAATCCAACCACCTTGTTTTCCTCCCCGAGGTACGCCCTGTCACCTCCGCACAACTCAAACATAACCACGACTGTCCCAGGTCTTTTGTCACCCCGACACGAAGACAGGGTTCCACAGTCTTAAGTCTGATGAATCGCAGGGAACGAAGTCGGCAGTCTCCCCGATATTGTTTTTGCTGCGGCGCGAATTAACAGTGCTGCCCTCCAGCTATCACCGTTGACTAGCTTTCAGGGCGAGAACAAAGTCTAACTACTCTTAATCCTTCCCAGTAAATACTGATGAATAGGCAGCTCTGAAAGTGTAAATGGTAGATAAGTAGAGTGTAACTACACTATAAAAGCACAAACTTAAAGACTTTTCACAGCCATAATCAATTCCATTTAATACCTAGGATGGAACTTAAAAATAGCTTGCTACAAAATTTGATTTGTACCTGTCGTTGATGACACAGCATATACACGACATTGTACCTGTATGAATTTTATAGGAGGTACTTTTTTCACCTTCAGCCTGTTAAGGTAAAAAAGACTTTTGGCACCAAACTCGTATAGGTTATACTTATGAAAAAGGTGAAACAGATTGGCTTGTTTTATACTGTATACATACATGTACATGCATGGATCTGCGGCGTACCATCCTACTTTAAAAGTTGCTTTCAAGTTCCAAGATAACAGTTACTTATTGTTGGACTTTAAGAGACTTAAGTCAGTCCAATCTCAGTCCAATCTCAGTCCAATCTCGCAGACATACATTGTACAATGTCATGTACACTCAGATTGTCAACTCTTCTTAAACTTCATACATTTGAAACCCTTTCTTCCCCCCAGCCATTGTTCCCTTGTCATGCCCTAACTCATATCTGCACCCCGAGTGTCAATCCTGTTCCTGATTCCCCATCCTGTATGTCCGATCTAATTCTGATCTTCCTTCTATACGTTTCTCTCCCGCACAGATTTTCATCGACCGTGACCCCGCGGCGTTCGTTCCCATCCTGAACTTCCTTCGCACAAAGGAGCTGGACCTGAGGTGGGTATGATGGAGTCTCCCTGTCAGGGGCAGGACAGTGGTGGATAGTGTACAGCGGTATTGATTCCAGGGCTCGAAATAATCTCCAAGCACTGATCTTTTGTAGCCTCTGTAGCAGGCTTATAGAACTGGGGGTTTGGTGGTCTTCGGCTGTTTCTGATTAGCCCAGTTCAAAAAACGGGGGTAATTCAACCAGGCCGGCTATGTTGTCTATTATAATATGCAATCAGAAAATAGCACATAAAAGATCTCAAAGACCCCCAAAACCCCCAGTTTTTGGCATGCTATGGAGGCTAGATATTTTGGTGGCTGCAAATAATACGGTATCAAATTGGCCAGGCTGTATCCATTTGGTGGCGAAATACATGTACTTAGTAGTAACTGCTTGGCCAAATGGATACCGCCGGTGGCAAAGTGGATACAACTGTATTTTGCAGCGGCACCAAAAGATCTGCTTTGAGATTAGGAACAAAATACCACCAGGTTAGTGCAGGTAAAATTGGAGCTGTGCAGGTATTTCTCATGTCTACCTGCACCTAACCTGCACTGGTCCATGTACGTATACTGGGTATATGCAGGTTAGTGCAGGTAAAATTGGAGCTGTGCAGGTATTTCTGATGTCTACCTGCACCTAACCTGCACTGGTCCATGTACTGGGTATATGCAGGTTTAGTGCAGGTAAAATTGGAGCTGTGCAGGTATTTCTCATGCCTACATGCACCTAACCTGCACTGTGCTGTGTTGAATATACAAATGTAGGTGTATAACTATGTGGATTTTGATTTGCTGCATTTTGGCTTTTACCACCTACATGTATCAAACCTGTAATAATGGCAATTAGGTTTCCAAACAGGTTTAGTATGATCCATACTTCTTAAATTCTGACCCTGAGTGGTGCAGGTAAAATTTGTCAGAACTTCATCATGGAATCAGGACCTCATTTCATAATTCATGAGGAAATGCTAGTACTTACAGTACCTTTCTTTTTTTTAGATAGGACTGCCTTTGGGTGGATAATTATGATCAACAGAAGTGCCTGATAATTCATGCAATTAAGAATCTTACTTGTCTAATGAATAATCAACAACAAAAAAAACTTTTTACTTTTTGTTGGTCAAATGTAAATGTGAACATCACCTGGTGAAGGTACGAAATCGAGGAACTCTTGTTTTCAGTGTTACTTGCACCAGTGCAGGTAAGACTATGCAGAGAAAAGTATTTCGAGCCCCGGCCAGGTTATTGATTGTCATTGCGGCTGCTGTATTGATCCCGTACATGTAGCTTGAGAGGCAGCCAGTCATCCCGCTGATATTGATTTCTTCCCTTATCTTGATGCAGTGTCAAGCTTTGTGCTTATGTTTTTCTCTGATACCAACAGGATGCAGGAGATATGCCGGCTTTTACCAGATTTGGTGGTGACAGTGTTACATTGTTAGCCTCCTTAAAGCATTAAAGTTATTAAATTTAATGTGCTTTTTTATTCTTTCTGGCATTTCACTTCAGTTGGTACCAGGGTTCTCTTACCAGCCTGCTAAGAAGGCTAATACACTGTTCATTATTTACCTCAGACTGTTTCCTCTTCTTCTTCCTCTCCAAACCAAAAAGGTCAATGACCAGACGTCTCTCGCCATGGTAGTGTTGGGTTACATCATGTTGCAATTTTATAGCAGGAAGGATTGTTGCATTAATGGATTATTAGA